ATAAAACATATATATATATATATATATATATATATATATATATATATATATATATATATATATATCCTTCTATAAGCTTTCAAGAAAATTCCCTCTCCGATTCTGCGCAAAATTCCAAATGAGCTTGAACGAAATTTAGAAATTTAGAAAACGATCCCTACAGGCTTACGATTGATAAATTTCCCCCACTTTCTCAACTCGTATCGCTGAAACGTTTTAACAACGACCCTGCCCTCGATCGATTCAGATTCAAAACGTCGAAAAATAAAAACTGAAATGAGGATTGAGAAACAAGACGAAACGAGACGAAAGACAGATGCAGAGAGAATATCGAAAACGATGAATGGGCAAGCAATCATCTCTGAAAACTCGCCATGGCGCGTTTTAACTTCTACGGGACGGTTCAAGCCGCGGATACGATTCCCAGAGGTCTTTAGAGCAGCGTTTCAATCCCTTGTTCGACGAGAATTCGGCATGATGTATCGCGAGACCTCCGGAGAAGGATGTATTATTCATCGATACCGCCATCTATCTCGTTATTTTTCCCCCTCCTGCCCGTTTGATCCTTCTTATTTTTCCCCCTGATTCGAACATGCCGGAACTTCGATAATCCTGCTTTGCATTTATGAGTCCCGTTTCTGTCGGAGTTTCAACGATTGATGCGATTTTAGCGACCTCGTGGCGCAGCCGCGGGACGATTCTTCGTTGCAAGTTGGATAGTCGATCATTCGTCTTGTTGTTTCAACGTCGAGAACGAGACACACACACACACACACACACACTACGTGAGAACGTTTTAGAAAAACTCGAACGATCGCAAGTGTCGAAACAGTAATTTATCAGATGTACATCTGTTTATGCTTTTATATCCGAATTTACTGTGCTAATTCTTTTTTTTTTTCAATTTTTAAATTAAAAAAATTATATCTTAAATTTAGAATTTTTTAAATTGAAATTTTTGAAAATTTTGGACGATTTGCTAAAAAAAATTGAGCCAATTCGTTCTTCGTTTTGTAAATTTATTCCCCGAACTTGGTTGCTGGAACAGGAAATCAATTCGAAACTCTCCAATTTTCTCCCGTCTTCTCGTTTAATTCAAGAAATTCAAAGAAGTGATTCGACAAAGCGACGAGAAGGAAGAAAGAACTCAGTCTTCAAGATTGTGATACATCCAGTGGTGAAAAACAAAATCTATCTACTATTCTTGGACTGCGTTTAAATTCGTAACTGCAATCGCTGCGTGTGAAAGTATTTTCGAAAGGAAAAAAAAAAAAAAAAAAAAGAACTAACATAGAACTCTCCAACATAGAAGCAAAGGTGAACCATAACAGATTTCTTTTTACAATGCTATAAAACAGTTTGATAATGTAGACAACTTTCTAGCCTCAAAATTTCTACGAATATATTCGTTGTTTGGTGGACCAAAGGCTGCAACCAGTTTAATAAGAGATTGGGAGCGGGAAAGAGCGTTATTAGAAAAAGATATCGAGAATGAGGAAGTAAGAAGGAAGGCCTGTATGGCGAAAGATTATTTTGGATATTCTTGTCGTGGCTTTATAAGCCACGCCGCTGCCGGATAACGGGTAGAGGAGGCTGATATTGAAGCCTCCTATTCCGTGGATTTTCTTCGTGGAACATTAACCCCACGAATACTCTCTCTCTCTCTCTCTCTCTATTCCTTTCTTTCTCTCTCTGTGTGCAGAAATACTCTGGACCGAACTTATTAAATTTCCCCGAGTTTTATACACTGACGTCCGCTTCATTGCCATTGTAATATCTCAGATTTCTTTGATTCTCCTCGAAGAGATGAATCTCGCCCTCCTAAAAGCCACGCTCGGTAAACAACGAGGAGAAAACAGGTGACGATACTAACGCTTTCACGTATACAAAATGGGATCCATCTAAATATCTCTTCGAATTATGTGAGGAGGCGAAAAATATTTTTCCTCCGACACGAATGCACGATTGGATAAGAATATTTTCTTCCAAGGTCGCTTTTGTCTCAACGCTATTTTGTTCCCTTTTTTTTTTTTTTTTTTAAGGGACGATACTAACACTTTCGCAGAAAAAATGGTCCACTTAAATATCTTTTCGAATTATGTGAGGAGGCGAAAAATATTTTTCCTCTGAGACGAATGGCACCGAAAGCACGACGATTGGTAGGAATATTTTCTTCCAAGGTCGCTTTTGTCTCAACACCATTTTTATTCCTTTTTTAAGGTCGTATATTCATTAATCATAATACCGATACTTATTTGGTAATACTAATATTTGGTACTATTAATCTTAATACTAATATTGGTACTATTAATCCTAATACTAATATTCAATACTATTAATTCTAATACTAATATTTGGTACTATCAATCCTAATATTAATATTTGCTACAATTAATCCTAATACTAATATTTGGTACTTGTAATACTTATTTGATAATCAGTGTTCACGATCTGATGTTTCGCCGGTCCAAATCAAATCGAAAGAGCGAATAATAAAAATCAAAATACGCCCAAGATGTGTTAACCCCCAGCGTTGGCAATTGGGTTTTGCGGACCTTAACGAGTGACCGAACCGTATACAATTCGTCGCTTTCTTTTCCTTTCGAACTCGACAATATAATATAGCTGGATAGAAATTATTAAGAAGCAATAAACTTATCATTTTTTTTTGCCTGGGTTATACTCAAATATACTTAAAATTGAGAAAATATCGCCATATTTTGGGGCAAAAAATTCTCGACGTGCGTGGCACGTCATTGCAGCGCAAGAGGTTAACCATTT